CCAGATGAAGATCCAGTGTGCTGTTTCTAGCAGTGACCAGAGATATTTGGGGAAAAAGTGTGAGAAACAGAGTTGGGTATCAGCATTTCTTCTGGTAGAGTCTCAACATTCACTAACGAGTAATACGAGAGGTGCATGGGGACCATCACATTTAATATCAACTGATGGAAATTCTCTATGAATGTGCAGTCCCTTTTTTACCCCTTTCGTACTTTTTGCTCTTTAATGTTCTGTGGCAATCCAAGGAGGTGATCATCCCCCTGTACCTGGCACTGGTGAGGCCGCACCTTGAGTGCTGTGTTCAGTTCTGGGCCCCTCACTATAAGAAGGATGTTGAGATTCTGGAGCGTGTTCAGAGAAGAGCCACAAGGATGGGGAGGGCTCTGGAGAACAAGCCTGATGAGGAGCGGCTGAGGGAACTGGGCTTGTTTAGCCTGGAGAAGAGAAGGCTGAGGGGAGACCTCAGCACCACCTACAACTGCCTCAAGGGAGGTTGTGGAGAGGTGGGTGCTGGTCTCTTCTCCCAGGTGATGGGGGACAGAACAAGGGGAAACGGCACCAAGCTGTGCCAGGGGAGGTTCAGGTTAGAGATAAGGAGGAAGTTCTTTACTGAGAGGGTCGTCAGAAGCTGGCACAGGCTGCCCAGGGAGGTGGTGGAGTCACCATCCCTGGATGTGTTTAAAGAGTGGGTAGACGAGGTACTTAAGGATATGGTTTAGGGAGTAGACAGGAACGGTTGGACGTGATGATCTCAGAGGGCTTTTCCAACCGAGCAATTCTGTGATTCTGTGATTATCTACACATTTCAACAGAAATAGATGGTCATCCCTAGCTCTCTAGTATTAAGAAGATGAGGTGTGTGACTTTTTTTAATCACAAATTATTTGTCCTGTGTCTCCTTCAGGAACTTCTGCCAGTACCGAGTGCTGCAGTCGTGTCACTGGGAGTCGATTGATGTTTATGGCAGCTTGGCTCACAAGTCCCAAGTAGGCTCAGTCATAACAACATCAGTGTCCTCATACCTGCATAACTTGTTTTGCACAAGAGCTGGGTCACTTTTTCCTGTATCAGCATGAAACACTACTAAGCTATTACAATTTTAATCACTCCAGGCGTGTGCTGATACAGAATATCAGTGCACCTTGTGTAAGCGTTACCTTAAAGAGCCTAATCTTAGTTTGAAAAGGTGACTGTGCTCACACATTCACCGTGTACAGGTACAGGAGCGAACACATTGTACAGATGAGGCTTTTAATTTGA